TCTTTATTTTCCATATTGAAGAAAAGATGTGTACATTTCAAAGCTATAAGACCAAAAGGGAAGGATATTTTTTCAAAATCTTTGTTATTTATGCAAATTGTGTACTGCTGGGAACCTCCTTATTATGTTTATATCTTCCTTCCAGGCTTAATAAATATCGTGGAACTGAGTGATGCCCATTACATCTCCCAACTGCTATCCTGCAGTTCTGGCTTCCCTATAGTGTGTAGATTTATGTCCCATGCATGCAACAACATACTCACCAGCCAGTCTGAAAAGAGAAGTGAAATGGGTTACCACATTAAAAACACTTCAAGTATATGGAGTTTGTCAACTAACTGACTGGCAAAATCTCCTCCTTTTTGTGTTCCCTTTTGTTTAAAAAGGGAATTTTATATAGATTTTTTATATCAAAAGACCCCTCTAGAGCTATCAAAGCTATTGGCTGGCAGTCTGGTTGTRTGACTATATGGTTGGAACATGTGTACAATTTTTTGTAGTTGTGCTTTTRTTTAGAAGAAGGTTACTCTAAAGAGCATTAATGTACCTTAAAATAATGATGATTATAAGAATAAGCTGAAGTCCCCCAAACTATTTATTCATACAAGAGAGAATTYTTATCATCTCCTCAGAAATATAAGAAGAATTTTGAGGATAGCCATTCTCTATAGTTTATAATCAATTTACCAAGAACTGAGCTCTGAGTAGAAATTCAACATCGTATACAAAGTAGAAATTACAGGAAAATGCAGGTTAAGAGGATTAAGGTRAGAACATATATGTGACTATTTATGTGTTATTTATTAAACCAATAGTAGTTAAATAAAATTATGGGTACAGATAAAATTTAACATTTTTTGGAGTACTGAGACTTATCTCAAACATCTTGCATAGATTTTGTGCATTTCTATTTAATTGCCTTTCTTTTTAAAGAAAAGGAGAMAAAGTAACAATTAGACTTCTCTGATATCTATGGCAGACAAAGAATATTTGGCAAGACAGAAGTAATCCTGATTTCTTTGTTGTTGTTGTTGTTTTAATTAGTTAAACATGACAGTAGAATGCACTTATATACTTTGATATATCATACATAGATGGGATGTAATTTCTCATTTTTTAAGTATACATATTGTAGAATCCTATTGGTCATTCAGTCACATATATACATAAAGTAATAATGTCTGTTTTCATTCTACTATTTTCTTATCCCCACATCCTGCTTGTCTAGTACTCCTGATTTCATGTTCATTTTTTTCTGATACAAATAGAGAGTCAGTCCTAAATTCCGTTCCAAAACTATATATATATATATATATATATATATATATATATATATATATATATCCTTTTCTGTTTTAGTCAGAATTCTGTTTGAAGCATGGAAAAACAGTAATTTTAATCTTTAAAAATTTCATTCATTCCATTTCTTTATTGTTGATCTTTTTCCAACTATATTATTCAATAGTAGACACAAATGAAAGATTTGTATGAACAATTAACTTCCAAAAWTTTTTTAAAAGATTATAGACACAGAAGCATATAATTTAAAATCATATATAGAAAAGGGCTATAACTGATACCAAACTATTGTAAAAGGATAATTACCTTCTTTRAGGAGGAGAAAGGCTTCAAAAATCAGTTGCCCACTAAAGCCCACCCCCCAACCACACACAAAATCAAGAGCCTTAGATTTTTAGCTTCTGTTACTGATCAAACATTCCRTTCATACAAAGGCAACTGGCTGTAAGTCAACAAAATTCACCAGCCAATTGTAACAATGTCAGCATGAGATAGTTAGTTARATAGGATTAATCTCCTTAAACTATTCCTTAAACCAAAAACTGATTTTCATTCCAGGAATGATTATTTGTAATTAGGACTTTTTTTTGTGATTTGAATTCATAAAGGYATACAAATGAAAGGAGCATTAAGAGTTTTAGACAAAATAGTAATTATAAATAATTAAAGGTTTAATATGTAAAATGAGCACTTTGTCAACCTTGCAACAGGTATCCAACCATCTATCTTCTTACATCATTTTCTTATGATAGAGTGCCATAAGGAAAGGGATTGTAGATTGTCAGAAGATAYCAGAAGCCTCAGGATAAGCAAATATAARTGACATACAGAAAGATACAGTGGTGATTGTACTTGAAAAAAAGAGCAGGTCCTCAGAAAATATAATAAAAAACAAACTTCCAACACTGATGTTAAGGAAGAAACAATATGATGTTCATTTTGGAAGCAAACTTGATTSAGAAGCAAAACAGGGTTAGAAAAAGTTATGAAAAATAAATGAGTTTTGCAGCCTGGTTAGATTTACTGTAAGGACAAAGAAAGGCGAACTAGGTGCAAGACATAAACAATTACATTTTAGAAGCAACAATATTTGTTTAGTTATAGTGGGAGGATATGCTTTGGAATTTCAATATCAATTATTTTGATGAAGGACAAATTCAGGTGGGAAAAATATATTATTATTTGCAATGTTTTTCTCAGGGAGTTTAGAATCTGAAAAAGGCTCAGATCTATAGAAGGAATGAAGATCTTTGTAATGATAAAACATAAATACTCTTTTATTACTTACAATTATTTAAAGAACAGTTGATTGATAGCAAAAAAATTTAAAAGTTGAATATGGAATTTATAACTTTTAGAAGTAAAAATCACACAAAGAATGTTGTAATATCCATAGCTACTACTATTTATAGCTTAAAATAATAATAAAGGATACAAAAGGATATTCTCCAGATATATAATTAATTAGAAAAAAATAAAAGAGGAAAGAGGAAAAAAACAACACAGAACATAAGAGAAAAATAGGAATGGTTGGTAATATTGTATAAAATATTTTTAAAGATTATTTCAGCATGCAAAGCATGCAAAGCATGCTTAGCTACAATAGTTACAGAAAAGTTCATTTTTATTTTCTCAAATGGAAGAGTGTCTGAAAAAATTGTATCATTCTTACTCACTTGGGATTTTACATCTCGTATTAGATCAATATTTTAATTAAATAAAATTTTGTCCAAAACTATTTGTCTGAGAGAGAGAGAGAGAGAGAGAGAGAGAGAGAGAGAGAGAGAGAATTTTTTTTTTTTTTTTTGGTAGATTGACACAACACAATGCCTTTATTTATTTGTTTTTTTATATGGTGCTGAAATTGAACCCAGGTCCCACCAGTGCTAGGTGAGTGCTCTACCGCTGAGCGACAATCCCAGTCCCCAAAACTATTTTTTTTCTTTTTTTACAGATTTTTTTTTTTTTTTTTATTTAGTTCTCGGCGGACACAACATCTTTGTTGGTATGTGGTGCTGAGGATTGAACCCGGGTCGCACGCATGCGAGGCGAGCACGCTACCACTTGAGCCACATCCCCAGCCCAAAAACTATTTTTTTTAAGGACAAAGCTTAGTTATTTTCCCATTATTTATGGCTGTGCAAACATCAGTCTTATAACAATCTCAAACTTCTTATGGAATAAGAATATTGAAACTTTTAACCAGAAGACTAGTGACTATCATATAAGTAGAAAGATTTTCCTCTGTAATTTTCATAATTTCTTTCCTTCAGTTTTTCATGTTCTATACCACTGCACATTTTATTATAAAAATGCAGAACAACTGAATGAATTTTCTGTTGCTTTCTCATCTGTATTTTTAATAGATTGTGCTTTACATTCTAGCAGGTCTTTTTAACTATTTATCTAAAATTACTGCATAAGGCTTTCACTGAGAAAACAAATTGACTACAAAGACCAAGAGGAATTTTTGGAAGTACACTTCACTATGAAAACAAAAACTGAGAAGAACAGCAGTATTTATTTCCATCTAATATATTTGAAATGAGCTAAGATAAGAAAAATACTGTACCTCACCATTTAATTATGCTTTTTGAATTTTTCTGATCAAAACTTCATCTTGAAGAATCACAGCTATAAGCAAAAATAGGCGGTGACTTCAATTACAAATAATGTTTCAAATACTGGATATTTCACAGRACAAATCAAAATAGCTCTAGTATCTGGAAAATAACCAATGGTTTTGTAAATGATTTATCTCAGGAAAGTAAACTAAAATAAATTGAAGCAGTTTGCATTGCATTTCCACAGCAAGGACAGTATAGAGTGCCTTCATTCAAAGATGTTAACAGCCACTCTGGATTGCATTAACTCTTTACCTATGTATCCTAATTATTATTCAAGAAACATCATGTTGCCCCACATCATTGAAACCTGAACCAGATAGTACCACATGAACATGTTAATGCTGTGGGACACCACTGAATTGTCTAGGGAATTCTGCAGCCTTCTGGGACATCTTAGTATCACTTCTTCAAAGTGAATAATCAACTGTTTTACATTGATGCCTTGAAATGACAAGAACTTTATACAAGTCTCTTTGGAGTTTGGAATCAGCATGTGTCATATTAGAGTTTTTTGGTGTATTCCATTCCTGTAATGACCATTAATACTTGGGTTCTAAAAATGTACCTAGATCAGGAGAAAATTCTCCAGCTTTCTAGGATACAAACAGAGCTTTCAGTTGGTTTGGATCCAAGTGTGCCCAAAGGTGTATTGCAGGTAGGTATACTGTATGTATTCTTTGGGAGATACTAATATAAGAAACATAGAGTAAGCCATGAAAGTTTGGGAATAAAGCAATATCTTCTTAGAAATTAATATTTCATTACAATCACATAGTAAATTTTGGTAAATCTAAATTCTTCATGGAAGTTCAATCTAGAGCCTGCTCTTCCAGCTATTGCAAAATTTGTAAATCACTTAAGTCCTTATTTGTAAACTATCAATTCTCTTATAAACAGCTAAGAATCTAATTTCTGTATAAGACTCCCTGAAGTGTAAGCTTGAAATTTTATCTCTTTTTGTCAGCTCACTTTCTATACTATTTGAACTCCAGCTTAAAACAAAACAAATAAACAAATACCCCCAAATCCTCATTGTCTTTGTATGTTCTAGTACTTTATTAGGAAAATAAACAAATGATATGATTGTTGCGTAGTTCATCAGATTAAATCATGAAGACATTTTTCATTATCTGATGTATCTGGAGAAGAATAAAAGGTGAAAATAGCTCCTAACAGAATTTTCTCAAAAGATGTAATTATATTATGGTTCAAGGTAATACTGAACATCAAAACATGTATAATTTCACTTTTAAAATATTAATTTACTTAAGTAATGTTAATAAACTATATTTTGATATGAAATTTTTATCTCCAAGTTGATAAAATTTGCTATCAAATAAAAATAGATTTTTAGRAAGGGAATAAAGATAAATTCAAATATTGTCTCCAAAATAATTACCCCATCAATAAAAGTGGATTCCATGAGTCATTTGTTTTGCATTTTTTATTAAGCATTACTAATAATATTTAAAAATACCAAAGATAAACATGATGAAATTGAAATTTTACATATATATATGAAATTTTACATATATATATATGAAATTTTACATATATATATATATATATATATATATATATAAAACATTGAACTATATTGTATCTATTTATTCATAGTATATGTGAAGTGTAGGTTGACATATAGATGATATTTTATATGTTGAAAAATTAATGGTTAAGTCAGCATAAAATACTTTGGGGTAGCAATTTCTACCATAAGTTATATATTGATATAACAGAAATAACAAAAGAAGATTTTATGAGTACTTCATCTTGAATTCTTGAAAAACATTTCTTGAAAAAAATTTGTTTTCACATTTTGAATATTCATTCTATTTCTGCCTTTTAGAGGACATGAAACTGCATCTATGGTATTGGTGAAAAAATGATTGTGAGAATTTCAAGGCCCATGTCTTTAATAAAGATGATAAAATGAAACATGGACAGACAAAAAATTTAAGACATTTCAAATTTGTGGATTCATTATCAACTCCTTTTATTTAGGAATTCTAGAATAGTTTTTTTTCCTATCAATGCATTATGAAATTACTTTAAAAAGATATACTAATCAAAATCTACCTTATTAGTCTTTCTTTCTTCTACTTATTTTTAGTTTTTCAATTTTTTATATATATTGTTTCCTTTCCTTGTTCTCCCTTCTGCTATTCTTCATAGACTCATAGCTTTGAAGAGTAATGTCATCTATATATACAAATGGCTGCCAGGAAGGACAGTATATTAATTAGTTTAACCAAATACCCAAGACTAGATAATTCATAAAGTTAAGAATTTTTTTTTTTTTTTTTTTTTTTTAGTTTTAGAGGCTAGAAAGTACAAGAGCGTGTTGCTGGCATCTGATGAGGGTCTTCTTTATCATCATGACATTGTAGAAGACATCAAATGATAAGATAAAGCAAGCTGTCTAGCTGAACTCTTTCTTCCATTTCACATGAAGATACTAATGTCATCATGGGAGCCCATTCTCTTGACTTCATCAAATCCTAATTGCCTCTCAAATTTTGCTTCTCCAAATACCATTAACATATGAATTTGGGCATTCAGTTTCCAACACATGAAATTTAGGGGACATATTCACACCATAACAGGTAGTATTCTAGAGTTATTTTTCTTTTTATTTGCATGGACAAAAAGTTAAAACTCTAATGTTAAATCATTTATATTATATTAAGAGCCAAGAATAATTTTCATAAAACTTGTATCATTACTGATACCCTCCTGTTGTAAAGCTTTTGTGATTCAAAGGATTGCAATTTTATCCTTTTTTTTTTTTTTTCCTGGGGGAGGGGTGTACCCGGGATTGAACTCAAGGCCACGACCACTAAGCCACATCCCCAGCCCTATTTGTATTTCATTTAGATACAGGGTCTCCCTGAGTTGCTTAGAAACTCTCTTTTTCTGAGGTTGGCTTTGAACTCAAGATCCTCCAGCCTCAGTCTTCGGAGCTGCTGGGATTATAGTAATAAGTCGCCATGTTGGCTGAAGTTTTATTATTTGTCACAAATCCTTTTTATTGTCCTTAGAATGAAAGAAAAACACTAATTTAAAATAAGTATAATTTTTACATCTTGAAATTAGAAGTCTATATTCTGATCTAATATTTGGCARGATTTTATGTACCATTATCTAAAGGACATAAGAATATCATGTGAATAATTATTTTATTGTTTGGAAATCTATGGGATAATAAATAAAAATGAACATTGAAGGATTTATGACAATTAATGATAGAAACTTTTTAGCTGTGTGTAACAACAGAAATAAGAGTACTTTACAAATGACATTCCAACCATCTTCATTTTTCCAGGTGGACTAAATAAAGTCTGTCTTTGAAAAGCATATTAAAATATGTTGAACTTACTTTTTGTATTAAGCCCTCYTGCTTCATTTAATAATTTTACTTAAACATTTTGACTTTGAGATTCTTCTTCCATTTACTCATTGGATTGAATGTCATTGAATGCTATAATTAATCCCTTTTTAAATTTTTTGAATTATTATTTATCAATTTTATATTTATGTACTGACCCCTACATGGTGTAAAATTTGAAGATATATATTTGGCAAAAAAGATATGTCCAATATTGGATAAACTGATATTACTTTCATTCAAATACAGAATGTTGCTTTCTATYCATTTTCTACAACCATTTTAATGTCCAAATATTAAGACCCATCAGTAATAAATCAGTCATTCTGATGTACCTAAAAACTTGGAAGCTAAATTGTAATGTCCTATGAGGATCACATATTTAAATTTCACATTACCTTTAAATTCTTGTACAACTGACAATATATTTAAACATTCTCAAATTTATTGCATGCTTCCTTTATTTCAATTGTCAAACTCATAATCTATTATTTTGTTTTGTTATAGTTCTTCCAGGAGAACTCACATGGAAATAAACTCCAAGAAGACAGAAAAATTAGTCTTGTTTCTTAATTTTTGTCTTCTTATTGTGAAGGAAAGCTCCTGATTGAGTATTCAATAAATACTTATCACTGGGTGCAGTGGTATTTGCCTGAGGATCAYGGAGCCTGGGAAACTTAAGAAAATCCTGTTTCAATGTTAAAATAAAAATGGCTRGGTATGTAGCCCAGCGGTAAAGCGCTTGTCTAGAATGAGCAATGAATGCCCTGGGACCAATCTCCAGTACTACAAAATAATAAAAAATAAAATTAATAAGTAAACAAGTGTATATTGGATTAATTAGTAAATGGAATAATAAGGAAATGACAGACACTGGAAGCATAATTAGGTGAATGAGAAGACTAGAGAGCTAGATTAGATGAAATGTTGAGTTTTAGAATCATAGGCAGGAAGATAGCATAAAGAAGACTGATATTAACTCATAATATTCTTAGGATAAAATGAAGCTTATCTGTGAACAACTTGAAATACAACACAATGTATAAGTACTATTTTTTTAAAGTTTTAAATTAAGCATACCCCCAAAGTTTCTATTATCTAACACCTTAAGAGGAGAAATGAGCACAGATAAATAATTTGATATTTCTAAATTAGTGATCCAATTTATATGTTCTTCCCATTGTATTTTCATAGTTCTTCTTCTTAGAAGTTACAGAGGAACATTAAAAAGGAAATTATTAATTTACTCTCTTAGTTTGTATCAAAACCCTAGMCAAAAAGAAACTTATAAAGCATATCATACAGAAATTTAAAAAAAAGAAAGCACAGTCTTGAAACTCATACCACCTAATTATCTCTACTCAAGATTAATTTAAACATATTTGACCTCAGCCCTTTAATATTGGCAAGTGGAAAACTGGAGTTTTCACCACATGCATTCATGAATGGTTCATGCCRTAATTACATGCATATTCTGGTTTTGCACCTCATTCAAAGTTCCTATTGTTGCCCTCTTCTTTAAGTGGACAAAAAAACAATGTGAAAATTCTGAGTTTAAATGTGTTACTAGCCTTGACATTTATACAATATCTTTGTTCTCTTATGTCAAGTAGAAGTCAAAGTTTTTCCTAGTTTTATACATTTCAACAAGAAATAGTGCTAGAATGAAATTGCACAGAGAAGGTGTAATTTGTTATACTCTTGCCGGACGTTAATGATGTGCTGGCAAGTAATAGCACTTTTACTCATGGCAGATGAAGATACCAGGCTCAGATTACAAGTGGAAAGAAAACATGATAAACTGGCCTACTTTGAAACAAAATACCCAAATTAGAAATCCTTTCAATGATGTATAATGCTAGTAGTATAATGGTGCAATCTTTGTTTTTTTTTTTTTTTTCTCAGCAGTTATGAGATTCAGTTACTGAAACAGCCTTGATAAGATTGGAAAATTTTAGAGTTATTGACTTATCAAAGGACCACAGCTTATCATGTAAATGTAATGCATGCAAATTTACAAAGATAAGAAACAAGCACTTTTATAATCTTACTGAAAAAAAAAAAAAAAAACAGTTGTCAGGTGAGATGAGAGTACCCTGAAACATGATTCTATTTATTGACTCACAGTGGATATAAAGAGTAAAAGTAAGTTTTACTTGGAAATGAAACAAACAATTAGAAACAAAATTTTCAATCGTACAGAAAGGAAAAGTTTTCTTGGATATAAGAGAAATATTCTGGCAKAGTATGTTCAAAGAAAAGAACAAGAACATAATTTTAAGACCTTTTCTCTAAGTGGGGAAGTTTTAAATAAATTAGTCATGTAGAATTAAAATTATGTCATTTGTTCTTCTTTGAATATTATCCCTATCAGTAATCTTACATGCATTTTCTAAATTGTGCATTTTTWAAAATTTTAACATATTCATCTCTCTTTCTACTACTGATCAATATGTAGGACATTTTTATTGATCTTAACTGTACTGCCATTAAAATACAGATACCCATAATTTTCTGAATATGTTCTTAGATATCCTTGCATACCTGTTTCACTATATTTATTTTTATATATTATTAGATTCACAATTCCAAAATGGAGATTCTGACTGAGCAAGCCAAAAGCACACATTTTCTGGCTCCTTTGCCAGTGAGTAGAAGCAGAAAGGAAGCAGAAAGGATTTACCTACTTAGAATTTACCCTATCATTCTCAATTCACATGTGTCCTTTCTGGGTGATAGAAAGGTACTACATC